AAGTCAACGTGGATGGACATGGACAGAAAAGCGAATGGACATGTTGTAGAGAATGTAGCCAATGGGAAAATATAGACTGCATAGACGAGAAGAAGAAGAAATAACAGCGTATCATGGACAGATATTATTGCCAGTTTTGACTAAGGAGACATGAGAAACACACAAGCTCCTGCGATAGTCCGGAAATAACAGGGAAGCATCAATTGCCGCACTTAATGACACGCCATGGATAATGGCGTGTACCATGCAGCACGTGGTTACATGTCTGGGGAATTTCCAAGACGCTGAAGCTATTGACTCTCTTTGCGCGGTATCCCAGCCCATCGTGAAGTCGAAGCTTGTCCACAGCGTACTACAGTCTGCAGCAGAGTATATTTGGTCAATGGCAAGTATACCGTGATATGCTCTATTATACTATGACACAGAGCGCGATAGCCATGTATCTGATCCAGTTAAACACTCTTGGCGTCTTACTGTAAGAATCTAGACTCACAAGTCAGCGGGCTCTTGCAACATCGCTTCGGTCAAGGTTGCCTGCGCAGCCAACTCGGTGAGCAATCGGGTATAAATTGTGCGTGCCAAGGCGTTAACCCCCGCCAAATAGTTTATTGGAAGTACAAACTAGTATGTAGGTCCGCTCAATTCGAAGTCCACGAGGTTTGGAAGCTGAATGGGTACCCCCAGTTGACATCATGTACAACGATAGTGCACCGAAGGGCTGAATGAAGACTGTACCTCAACACAGGGGGGAAACAGACTACCTGATGTTGGCTATTGTTCCAAGTGTGGACAGTGGCCAACAAGCTTGAGCAAACAAACGCGCAGGGCAGTGTCTAACAATCACTGATCCCCACGTGCCAAGTCGCTGCCATTGAACGGGATGAAAGATTTTACGTAGTTTCCAAGAATGTTTTCCAGGCCCCACCCGCCAAGAGGCGGATAGCTTCCCGGTTGCGGAAGTTTAAGTTGGTTTGACGCTGAAATGGGAGGAACAACATGATCGTACCTTCCAAATGGCAGCTGAGGGTTGAGAGCCAACGTCGCTGCAATTCATCCGACCAAAATTTCCATTTCAACTGGAATATTTTTGGATCGCAACTTCTGCAGCATTCTCTGCTCCGTTGATCCCCGTCCGGTATCAAATTCCCACGCCATACCGTTGCATGGAAATAACATTAAAAAGAACCTTGGCCGACCACGGATCCCTGTTCCTCCACATCGCCAATGAGGGCCTTCAATCTGGGCACGAGGCAACGCTCCCGCGGGTTCGTGGTAGCGGCTGGCGCCCCGTGGCCGCGCTTTAACTAGGATAAGCTTAATGCAGGCGAAGTGGCTGCTCTGTGCAGCTGCTCTACGGAGCAGTGCTTCTCGAGAGGGTGGTGATACTCTAGATCAGAATTCGCCTGGCTTGACAGCACTGACACTATTGCTCCAGCTTGGTTCAGACCACCGCATTCAACCGGTATCCCGCGCTCATGCTACACAAAAGTAACCTCTCCCGGGATCAAGCTGCGAACCAAAAGTCTGTACGGAGTACAGTACATACTCCGCACAACAAGGGCTTACCCACACCATCTGCCAACCGAGTTGGTCCTTCATCTCCAGCAGCTCTTCGACCATCTCTACTCCGTACGAGCATGGGATAAGCCTATTGTCATCAAGAGTGGCGCCGACACGTGCCCTTGTTCCTGAAGGTGAAGGGTTCACGGTAACATCGCTTCTGTCTTTTCCCCCTATTGCTCGAATCGGGTATCAGTATCTCTCCACTAGATGCAGCTACTTCTCATAGTTCCTTCCGTCAAGAAAGGGCAGTGCAGGCTCGGATGGCTTGACAAGACACATCCTGGTCGAAGCTGGATTCTCACAGCTTGATAACCGCCATGTAGCATCCGGCCCTGGTGACGCTATCCAAGTCGGTAGCTTCCGGTCCATGGATCAGGGCCTTCTGCATGCGCCGGTCTGCAGCAGCTTTCGCGGGTCGCAGAGAGATTACCACGAGACATATAAGCACGTCGCAATCCGACGCCCGAACTCGTCATTCCTTCCTTCCTTTTTCCCTCCTTGCTAAGCTTGCTCGAAAAGCCAATTGCCTATTCTTCGTTATACTAATATCAACGAGGACTACCGCAATCATGCTTGCAAAGCTCAACGTCGCTGCTGTTCTGGCAGCTTCGCTCTCAGCTGTCTCAGCCCAGACCTACCAGCGTCTTGGAACGTGCCCAACTCTAGGGTGTCTTCTGCCACCTGATCAGAGTGATTTTCTTCCTGGTCAGCTTTTTGACCTGAGAGTTGAAGTTCACGCCCCCGTCAATGGCTCTGAGGCTGCCCACGATGGCAAGCCTGATGAGAAATTCAAGGTGACTATTGCAAAAGATGGCAAGGAGGCCAAGGATATCACCAACTTCTTCGGAGTGAAGGAGCCCGAGTTGGAGAAGTGGACTTTCAAGTGGTACGAGGATCTCTTTGCCGAGGACAAGAAGACTCCGTCAATTGTCAACGTTGCCTCCAAAGCTTATCGCAAGCTCTCCCTGGACGAGCCCGGCAAGTACACCGTGACTCTACAGTACTATGGGGGTGAGAAGACAACGGCTGAATGGGTCGTTCGTCCTATTGTCAAGAAGCGCAAGGCCAAGAATGTCATCTTCTTCATTGGTGACGGCATGACCACTAACATGGTAAGCATCCCTGAAGCATTGACGTTCCTAGTCGAATTACAGTTGTGAAGTGAGTTAGACTTAACACGGTTAGATTACTGCTGCCCGTCTTCTTGGGCACAAGAGCATCAACGGCAAATACCAGACTCGCATGCAGATGGACGAGTTTCCTGTTCTTGGCCACCAGATGACTCACTCGATTGACAGCTACATCACCGACTCTGCCAACTCAGCCTCTGCTCTATACTCTGGTCACAAGAGCACTGTCAATGCCATGGGGTATGCGAATCTTGTGATGTGTTTGTTGTGATACTCGGCTAACAGGCCTGCAGAGTCCATGCTGATTCGTCTCCGGACCCTTTCGATGACCCCAAGGTCGAGACCATTGTTGAAATCTTCCGCCGAATTACCGTATGCTCAACTAGTAACTAGATTCTGAGTTCCTTGCTAATATTATGAATGCAGAAAGGTGCTTGGGGCGCCGTCTCCACGGCATTCTTGGCTGATGCCACTCCCATTGCTCTCACCGGCCACACCCGTCGCCGTTCTGAGTACGGTCCTCTTATAGACCAGGCTCTCAACGGCCTGACCAACTACAGCTGGACTAACCATGAAGGCCCTGATGTCTTCTTCGGTGCCGGTGCCGAGCAGTTCTTCGCCGGTAAGGGCAGTTACAAGGGCAAGGACTACTACGAAGAGTTTTCAAAGAAGGGATACTCTGTCAGCTTGAACAAGACCTCGCTGGAGAAGATTGACACCAGCAAGAAGGCCCTGGGTGTCTTCTGCCAGAGCAACTTGCCCGTCTGGCTGGACCGTAATGTTTACAAGGACAACCTAAAGAACTTCAAAAATAACCCCAAGGGCGGAAATGACTCTGCCCTTGATCTCCCCGGCCTGAAAGAGATGACTCTCAAGGCTGTTGAGGTTCTCCACAAGCGTGGTGGTGACAAGGGCTTCTTCCTCATGTCCGAGGCTGCCTCTGTCGACAAACAGATGCACGCTCTTGACTACGACCGTGCCCTCGGCGATCTTCTTGAACTCGACGACACTGTCCGTGAGACCATCAAGAAGCTCAAAGAGCTGAAGATTTTCGATGAGACACTGGTTGTTGTTTCTGCTGACCACGGCCACGGGTTCGAGTAAGTTCCTGCCCCTCCATTGAACGACGACTATGCGGAGTGTTAAATCCCTAACAACGATTTTTAGTGTCTGGGGATCCGCTGATACCGAATACATTGCCGAGCACGACGATGAGCGCACCAAGCGCAACGCCATCGGCGTCTACGAAAAGTCCGGTCTCTCCCAATACACCGAGAAGAACAAGAACATTCAGTATGGCACCGGCGTCAACTTCCCCTCAAACTGGGAGCCTCGGTACGCCATCGCCGGTGGTGTCGGCGCTGCCCCCGACCACCGAGAGGACTACAAGGTCCACAAGAGCGGTCCTCGTGAGCCTGCGGTCAAGGGCGCCGACGGCAGCTACATTGTCAATGCCAAGGATTCGCCCAACGGTATTGTCATCAACGGCACTCTGCCTACCAACGAGGCTCAGGGCGTGCACTCGCTTACTGATGTGCCTGTGTTTGCCATGGGCCCCTGCCAGGAGACCTTTGGAGGCACCTACAACAATGTGGACATTTTCTACAAGATGGCTACGTGTTTAGGCCTGGCGCGCCCAAATACTGAGTGCAAAAAGCCCAAGAAGGAGTAACGTGCGTGACGTGGGGAAAATAGCAGATTAGTGGATAGACTTAATGACGTGATGAGAAGCTGTAGATTAGTGCATAGCATATACGGTGTAGAGTAGTCGAAAGAGACAAAATTGAATGCCTAGTCAAAACAAGATGTACGTGAGTGGTTGAAAAAAGAGTATGTTGATATTAGCAGTGTAGGCCCGCCTATGACCGCAATATCCTATGTCATGTCTTGTCGTACGTTCTAGCTCTCTATTCATAGCCCCGAAATACACAGAGTAGAAGGGGGGAGCATCTATAGCCACTTCCTTTTTTTTTTTTACCAATTTTGAAAACCAAATCACTTTTATCCCCTCAGCCATATTGCACTTTGCTACAAAACCAGTGTCGGAAATGACTTTTCCCAAACTACAGTTTCCGATATCAAAATCCCCCCCTCAAAAAAAAAACCTGTCACGACTCGCATGAAGCTGTGACTACTGTTCATTCTCTTACGGTATTTTGTCAGCTTTTCAGATCCAATACCGTATTCAGGCCCACGAAAGCAAAAGGCGGAATGGGGTAACGGTCATCTTTTTCTTCTTAAGAAAAAAAAAAAGTGAGGGGCAAACTCACCCGCTGCTGCATACCCAGTAGGCATCTCGGTGCTTCTCTACCGCACCGGGACGGAACCCAAGCTTGCCAGCATGCCCACCAGCTCGTTGGAGTCAATCTCCTCGGCGGGGTGGTCGGGACGGCTGCTCAGGGCGGCCGTGTGCATCCACACGCTGCCCTTCTCGTAGGTGCTGAAGCGGCCGGCGACGCGCTCGACGTTGGAGGCGCGCAGGCCGCCGCCGAGGACGAACTGGATGCGTCCGGCCTGCCGGTGGCACTCGTGGTCGAGGCGGTCGACGTTGGCGGCGCAGGGCCCGCGGCCGCCGGCGGTCAGGAGG